TTAGTATAAATGCTTTTTAGTTCTGAAAACAATGTTCACTAGACAGGTGGCTTTTTACTTTGCACATCGATTGCATAAATTATTTCAGCTATCGTGTACAAAGAGATGAAAATGATCATACAGGCATGAGGCATGATCTGACATAGCTGGGGACTGACTGATTTTTTTGCACTGCTCAGGAAACCGTTCTGAGACACCGTCCTTGAGAAAAGTGCAGACGCAGGCACATGTGTACCTAGAGTGACCGCGTTTGTTCGCCTCCAGTTTTGTCACAAGTTGATTAACAAGGGAACATTCTGATTAATCAAAGGCTCCTCATGCCATTATAAGAGTAAGGATTTTCTGCTTCAAAAGAGAAATGCTCTATGTTTGAGAGAAACATAAAAATCCATTCATTAGGAACAGCCCGAATATTCATTAGAATGCAAAGCTCTGAAGGATGCGAAGTGGTTGGGGAAAAGAAAAGGCTGTTTATTCTTCCCTGAATGAAACGGATGATGTGAGGCGCTCTCCCCTTTTCTGGCTCTAAGGGGAAGATTTCATTGGCCTTAAAAGACCCCAAACTTTTGGTGTCGGATTTTACTTCTAATGCTGAATCCTCACGTACTCCTATGCCAAAAGCTAAACCTTAAAGTCTAGGGGGAGAGAGCTTTCGAAATAAACAGAAATGCCTCCTACAAAATGAAGAAAGCAGGTTCCCACTTCTTGCTGAGCATTGGGTTCGGGATGTAAGCATTCTTCCACGACTTTCAAGAATTCCTTATGTACTGCAAGGATGTCTTCAATGTTCGAGAACAGCATCTGAAAAGAAATGTGTGAGTAAGTTCAAGAGGGAAGCAAGTTTAAAAGGGAAGACGTTTACGCAAGTATAGCATTCTCTCTCCGAGTGGAAACTTCAGTGGGGAGCCCGCTGTCCCACATCCACTCCGCCTCCCCCTGACTGGCAGAGCACCGGTTTTGTGTGAACGTTCGCTCACACTCTGGGAACCAGGAACCTATTCCTGGCTCTCAGGAAAAGCCTGAAAGGCCGACTCCACGCACGGTCCTCCCGCTCACTCATGAGCATGAGCTGCAGGTAAAACAGAGCAGGCAGGTTGGCTGGCAGGCTTCTCCCTCCTAAGAAGGGCACCCTGGAATGGGCAGCCCTGTTCCCTCTCTGGAAAGGTGTTCTGTCTGGAAGTGACAGCTGGGACAGCTCCATGGTCGTTTTGCAGCTGTGGGAGCAGCCAGTCCAGGAGCAAAGCTGATAACCTAGATGGTAGAAGAAGAGCTAGAGGGAACTGGCAATCTAACTCAGTGGTCCCCAACCTTTCTGGCACCAGGGACTGGTGCTCCAATGAGAATCCAATGCTTGATGATCCGAGGTGGAGCTGAGACGGCGATGCCAGCTAGCGCTGGGGAGTGGCTGTAAAATGCAGATGGGGCTTCGCTAGCTCACCGTCTGCTGTGCAGCCCGGTTCCTAACAGGCCCCAGACTGGTACTGGTCCGCGCCCAGGGTTTGGGGACCCCTGATGACTGACCTCCCTGAATTGCCAGTCTCATCTGGAACTCATAATATGAGAACCAATCAGAGTCTTCAAACCAATTTGAGTAATAGGTGTCTTTTGTAACCGAAAGCACACAAACTAAAATACTCCCACAGTGGGAGAATTTGAAAGTATTGAACTTACAGAGAAATAGAGTAAGGACGGCCTATAAAATCCTTGGAAATTCTTTTTCAGTAAAGTAAATCAGCAAGTTAGCACCCAAAATAAATATCGGTGATGCTTTGCACAACTTAAATAAGTAATAACAACTAACTGATTTTCATTCACCATCCATTTTTTTTTCAAAACTCTTCATAATTTTCCTTCCCTAGCGATGAAAAGGAAACGCTTATCCATTTGTTCCCGAGTTGCAGATGTCGTGCGGACTTTCCTTTCTGCACCAGAGGACCGTCCAGATGGCTTGTTCTTTAGTGATGACAGAGGGAAGTTGCATTTGCCCGCACTCTGTCTTCCTGAGCCCCCTCTGGCAATCCCCTGACACGTGGCTCAGCTCCCTCTCTCTCACAGACACGTAGGTACTTCACCCTGAGTTGGTTTTTCTTTCTCTTTTCAAGCTTTCTCAAGGCTTTGACGAAAAAATTTCTCTATACGTCTTCTACTCCATCCTCTTCATCCCCATATCTCTTCCCAAACTCTGGTTTCCCTTTTTCTAATTGTCACCGCCCAGTGGCTGGTACACCATCTTATACTAGAACTGAAGATAAGTTAAGAGCCCTAAGGAACGCCTCACAGATCAATTGTCATCTATGGGAACTCGTGCTTGCACGGAGGGCGGGTCGTGCCTCCTTACCTTCACTGTTTCGTCCGTGACGTTTTTGTCAACTTTCGATGCTGCGCACTGGTTCATTCGGTGTAAGAATGCCTGCGTGCAACAAAGAAGGGTATTATAAAGGTAACATGACGTTAACGAAACAACTGCGTTGACCAAAATTAAATTCATTTTTTCTAGGAAACTGAAATTTAAAATTCTAATAATCGTCGAGTATCATAGTTTTACTGTAAAAGTGGACATCGTTGTGCAATGCTGCTCCTACCTGAGAATTACTTTTCCTTTTCTATTTTGGGACGGGGCCAAAAGTAATCATGTACATATAAAATTCAATTTATCCACCAGAGTCTCAAAGTTCTATGGTAAACATTTTGAGTCAAGTGTTTCCTAAACTGCTAAGTCTTCCGAAGCATAAAAGACCAAAGTCTAATGAAAAATGGAGTTTCTAAGAAAAAAAAACAAAACAAACAAACAAAAGATTTTGAAGCAACCCCTTTAGAACTGAGATTGAAGGAGGAGAGGGAAGAAAGAGAAAGTGACTCTTCAAAAAGGAACGGAAGAATCTTCTTGCTCCTTTAACCCTCCTTCTCCCAAGTTTTAAGAAGCCAGAATGTCTATGTCTGGGATCAGCTCTGGGCTCTCCACAGACATAAGGTAGGCAAAAAAGTGTTTTTCAGTATTTCAAAAATCTGGACTCTTCCTGATGGTCATTAAGTTTTGACCCATGACGAAATAAGCTATTATTTTTTGCAAAGGAAAAAAAAAAAGAATAGAATGAGTTATTTACAATTGAGACTTAAAAGAGAAAGTTTAGAAGGAAAAGAAGAGACTTTCCATCCAGCAAATTTGGTTTGTGTCCTCAAGACATTGTTCACTAACTACCTAGTGCCCAGGTGAGACCATTTCTTCCCCTGTCTGTCTTCAAGACCCCGCCCTCTACCTGCCAAGTCGGGGTACGACTTCCCATGGCACACAGAAGCTCTAGGGAATCTCTGGACACTACCAAACAAAGAAAAAATTAAGATAAGGACCCAATTTTTGGCATACTGAATATTTAGGAGATTAACAAAACCCGGGAAGGGTTGTGACATTCCAAAATTATCACTTTCCAGACACTGCTAGTAAAGGACAAAATGGCACATTTCTGAGAACACTGTGACAACCCATCTCAAATTTTTAAATGGACAGTTATATAGTTTTTTAATTGTTTTCTAAAGTTATGTGTAATTGGCAGTGGAAACAGAGGTTTTGAATTTTCTGACTTTAAGTGTCCATTTTAATTAGTATTAGTCTGTTTAATTTTATTTTTAGTTCTGTTTTTCTTGAATATTTTCCCACATACTCATACCAAAAAATGCTCTTTAGTTCTTAAAATAACATGAGCGGTTTAGTTGCCTCGTTTACATTTCATATTGACCACATAGTAAACAGGTAACCTCTTGTGCAAGCAAAGCTTAAACTTCACCTCTAGATTTATAAACCTCTTCTTTATGAACGGAGCCCAGTCACATTCTGAAACCAATAAATTAAAGTTAGGAGGTAGTAAAAATGAAACAAAATATGAGTTAGAAGGGAAAATGTGAACTAATGAAGTAAACTATGTCTTTAATCAACTTTACCTTCTTATCTTCTGTGACAATACAGAACTCTTTGCTTAACTGTATACTAAAGAAAACCTGGAACTCATTAGCATTTCTGACCAAGCGTTTATTTTTCCCAAGAGCCTCATTTTATACAACGGTGAAGGCAGATTTTAGATAGTTTGTTAAGACTGCAAAATCTTAAAAACTGGTCAATATTTTTTACAAAATGTAGACGTCTTCCTTCTTAAAGGTAGAGAAAAGTAACGTGTCCCGAATCATTTTTTAACAACCAGTATCTGCAGAGTCCTTTCAGGCTTTGGTGACTGACACATTTAATTTTTCTCATAGCAATCGAGAAAGCATTAATACCCTAGTCATGGAAGCACAGTAGGGAGGTAATATACTGTTTTATATCTGCACTCATTCGTTTTGACTGAACCAAAATTTCATCAGAATTAAATAATCTTCATTTTGACACAAATATATTGAAAATAAGCACTAGAAAATGGATTTTAACGCCAGTGGTTTGCAAATTTTTTATTATAAGTAGGACTTGGAGAGTTTCTTCACAAGGCAGATTCCCAGGCCCTATCGCCAGAAGATTTGTTTGAGCAGACTGGTTAAGGACCCAGAAACCAGCATGTTTAAGCAAGTGCCCTGGAATGCAAATCTGCATTCTGATGCATTCGATGACCATTCCTTTATCTTTACCCTTCCCAAGTCTGAAGAAACAGACTTTGAGAAACAAATAAGTAAGTTCAGATGGAAAAAAAAATGGGTTCATTTATTTCACCTTGCCTTTCAACTCTGTCAGACTCCCTCCATTCCCACACCTTCTAACTGGGCCATGCGAGCTTTCCACCACCCCGCCAGAGGCTCCTCCCCTCCGTGATGAAATCACCATCTAGGCGTTAAACAGGTCTTAATAATCTCTGAAAGTCAGGGGGGTGCAGAGGCAGGTAAGCCAGTTGGGACGGACTAAGTCACATCTGGGTGAAGCGAGACTCGCAGGCGCCCCTCCAGATACCTTCCAGCTGGCAGGTGTGTCAGCATGCGCTCATCTGCCAATGCACCCCTAACATGATTCTGCACAACGTACTCCCTGATATCACTCCAGCCAGGGCTGCATTTTTCCCCCCGCCGGCTCAGAAAGCAGAACTCTTCAACCTGCTCCGTATGCTTTCCTCTTGTCGCGTATTTGGTAAAATATAGCAAATGTTATATATTAATTAAAGTTTAAGAAAGGAAAAAATGTCACGAATACGCCAGCAAGAAATCATAAGAGGGAAGAAAACTCATGAAGATACAATGGAGGTGACAGTAATCCCCCTTCTGCATGTATGCCCATCGGGCCACTGCTAGCTCGAAAGTAAAGCAAGTCCGTGATGAGTTTTATTCTCAGAATATATTTGCTCATTTTCTAATTTCAATGTACTAAATGATCTCTCTCAACTCATTTTTTTGTCCTTCTCATTCCTTTTGTCTGTCAAGCACACACAGTAGATCACTCTTAAAAGTTACACTTTTAGTTCTAGATACCTGCTATTTGATATAATATTATACAGGCAGTAAACCTTATTACTCCTATAAATATTCTGCATTCAGAATGATCCTAACAATAACTTGTCATCTCGACAATGTGGCTATTTAATACAAACAGAGATGGGTAAATTTTATATTTAAAGGTGAAAAGGGAAAAATTTGAGAGGCCGCACTATTGCAAGAAAAAGCATGTTCGTTTCTTGAAAATAAATGGGAAAAAAAGTAAGGGTAAATATTTTCCTTTTACCTCTTGAACTTAAAACAACATTATTACATCAAAATTCTTGAGAAAATGTTTTGTTTTGTCTTCCTGAGAGAAAAAGAAAATCCTAAAAAAATGAAAAAGCCTTGTCATTTAGAACCAACACAAGGCCCCAGGACAGAACCTTGGGGCAACTCCAACATTTACAGGTCAAACAGGATAGAAATCAAAGAGGCCAGTAAAGCAGAAGCAAACCCAGGAGAACGTGGTGTCACCAAAGCCAGATTGAGAGTTTCCATAAAGAGGGAGTGGTCATGCTTTAAAAGCTCTGAGCAATCCAGTGAGGTACAAACAGACACGTGACGTGACAGTGCAGAGGTCACTCACTAGCGCCTTTAACCACAGCGGTCCCAGTGGAATGGGCTGAAGGGAAAATGAAGGATGTAGAAATGGAGCATTACTACAGAAAAAATTTTAAAACCTTTCAAGTTTTGCTTATAATGGGAGTAGAGAGATGGAAGTGAATTTGGATCAAGGGAAGATTGATTTTTTAAGTGAAACAATCCTTGCTCAATTCGTCCTTCAAATCACATATTATGTCCTTTAATACGATTTCAGTGAAGCCTTCACATTCTCCCCAGTCCACTGGGTCTCACCGTTCCCCAAAGGACTATTGATTCCCAATTTCTTAAATAGGAATCCTTCCCCTAACATAAAGAACAGTAATAGATATGCATATTGTGATGTTAATATCTGTCCATTTAAATGCATATTAACAATAAACTATTAGAAAGAAAATTCAACAATATTTATGCCATGTGCCAAGGCATTGCTCTTGGCAGTGGTTCTTAAACATTTTATTCTCAGGACTCCTTTATACCCTCAAAAATTTTGGAGAACTGCAAGAGCTTTTATTTATGTGGATTTTCAATATTTAATATATTTGAAATTAAAAACTTTTTAATATTTTCCAATTAATGAATTTATTTAAAATTAATGATAATAAATCTATTACGTGTTAATTGTATGTAACATATTTTTATGAAAAATAGCTATCTTTCCCCAAAAAATTTCAGTGAGGAGTATGGTACTGTTTTATATAATTGCAAATTTCTTTCATATCTGAGTTAATAGAAGATAACTGAATTCTCACATAGGCTTCGATTTGTTATAATGTGTTGTTTGAAAACATATTTCCAATGATAGTTGCAAAAGGGGGAAATGTGTTCATTGCTATAACCTTTTCAGATAGTTGTGGATATTCTTTAATACAACACCAAAACTAAAAAAGTAGTAGCTTCCTAAAAGTTAGTTATCATGGGGACTCCGACATCGTATCAGTCAACTTTCTGTACTCTGTTAAATTAAAGCCCATTGATCTATCTTGCAATTTGAAGGGATTTTTTATCCATGTGTGATTTATAAAATTTTTTAACACTGAGTAACTGAGGGTTACGCATATATCTGAACTATCAACACGTTTCATTACACAATATCAGAAAATACATCATATTACTTAATATCAGTATCCAACTCACTTAAAAAATCTTTAAGTCTTAAGAGGCCGTAAAGTTCAATCATAGACATAAATTTCCCCCAACTCTAAATTTACTTGCAAACTTGAATTTATCATCATCAACAAATACTATCAGTTGTTTTCCTTGAAGTGACAGGCTCACTTCATTCTTCTTTGAGAAAATGTCTGCCAAATACCTAAATGCCCTGAAACTAAAACCAGAGTTTGTCTCATAGTTGTTATGTCAAGTAAATACGATGTTCCATAGCGACTCAAACACACAAATTCTTTCCCTCGAGTGAGTGGCAGAAGTTCTGAGGTATACTTCCCATTTCATCACACAGAATAGTAAAGAGACGTGTACTAAAAATTCAAGATTTAATGAAATTAGTAAGTTTTACAGCTTTATCAAGAACATTCTTAAGTGAAACCAGCATTCTCCTACCACCCCGCCATGAGTGGGTGGCGGTGAAGCATACAGTGACCACTAGTACAATTTGGTGCCACTGCTTTGACACACTAAAGCATCGAAAATTTTCGACACAATTGCTTTTGAAAAACCATGTAATAACTTATAGCGATTCCCAGGCTCTCCAAGATCCAGGGTCCAAAATCCGTCACCATAAATCTACGCCACGCAGTTCTGTTGTTTAATTTAACTTGACCTTTCTCGTGTTCTGTCCACGACATCACTTCTCACACTGGGCACCAGCACCTGCTCTCCTTTCCTTCCTCGTATGTCTTCCCTTCACTCCATTACTTCCCGTACCCTCAGTGGGTAAGACCGACAGTGGGATGGGATGCTGTAACCTCCCCCTACGATGCCCAACCACTTCCCAAGACAAGGCAGCAAGTCGTCCTCCATTTTATTTGTACTGCCAAGTGCTCACGATTCATTTGGGTAGAAGACTAAGAAAAATTAGAAGCACGGGGACATTAGGGACCATAGATATTTTTGTAATTATCTCACAATGATGGTCCTGGCCTAGAGTTTCAGACTCCCGTTATTGACTTGTAGCCTCTCCCTCCCTCATTTCCTCCCTCTCTTTGGTTGTCACATCCCAGTTTCCCCATTCTGGACCACTGCCATGACCACAGCAGCCTCCCGAACGTGCCGCGCTCACTCCCACCCCAGCGCCTTTCACGACTTGCTTCC